TTGAATTCAGCGAATGGCCAACTCACGCCGATATGGACGAGCACAACTACGGTAAAGATACTTTGACATGGAATTGAGCCTAATTTAGTACCTATTTGAGTCTCTACTGTACTGTATTGATAGGTTTTCTATAAATTAAGAGTACTTATTAGAGATAACTCTATTTTTCCTAGCTCACTAGGCTCCTAGCTCACTAGGCTCCTAGCTCACTAGGCTCCTAGCTCACTAGGCTCCTAGCTCACTAGGCTCCTAGCTCACTAGGCTCCTAGCTCACTAGGCTCCTAGCTCACTAGGCTCCTAGCTCACTAGGCTCCTAGCTCACTAGGCTCCTAGCTCAGCTCCTAGCTCTAGGCGGTGAATCGCCCAGAGCACTCCTGTGGTACACCGCTTCGATAGGGACTCTATTACGCACTCAATTGGAGATATTAACAATGTAGATCATTCTTACAAATGATTAGACAGATAAATTATGCAAATCATAATATTGTAGATGACGTAAGTTCATATAAAACAAGAAATGTGACCAGTGAAAGCCTTACAGCCCACTCCTTCGACAATTGACGGTATCACGACGTTTCGAATTGGAATGATTGGTAGAGTTTATTGAAATTGAAAGACTAGTACAGATCTTTAAGACTAGTACAGATCTTTAAGACTAGTACAGATCTTTAAGACTAGTACAGATCTTTATATAGTACAGATAAGTTCTCTTGTTCAGTAACCGAAACCCAGCAACAAAACATCGGCTTCTCGTTGACTGGTGGGGTGATCCCGTTGGCTCTTCAACAAATCGAGCATTTGGATCTCTTGAGCTCTGTCAGATTTGAGTAAAACTTGCAATTTTATAAAATACTTTTCGAAAATTAGATTCGTCATCAACTACACCGATTGCACCGAGGGAGACGCGGCTGGATTAGCGTTTTATTTGATCGTCAATCGAGCCGTCGACGTTATTTTGGGACCAGCTTGTAGCGCGGGTTCATTTTGAGGACTTTAGATTAAAATTTCATAAAGTCTTCTTATTTTTTAAGCTTCTTATTTTTAAGTCTTCTTTTTTTTTAAGTCTTCTGCGTTTTAAGTCTTCTGTTTTTTATTCTCTTTTTTAATACTTTTAATACAGGGTGGCTAAAAAGTCTTATCGTTTTTCAAACGCTTACAACTTTTCATCCGCTTACAACTTTTCATCAAATCGCTTTAAGAACAAATTACTTGGAGTAAACAATGTAAAAATATCTAAAAAAAAACATAAATTATAACAACAATTATAATTATTTTTTAAATTCCCTCCGTTAGCTTTCACACAGACCTTCAAACGGGGAACTAATGAATCAACGGTGGCCAGCAAGTACTTGACATTAAGCAGCAATTAGTTTCTTCTTAAGTTCAACGATGAGGACATTTATGATGAGGACATTTCTGTGATGAGGGCACTTCTAAGGACGAGGATGAGGACATTTCTATGATGAGAATGAGGACATTTCTAAGGATGAGGATGAGGAGATTCCTATGATGAGGATGAGGACATTTCTAAGGTTGAGGATGAGGACATTTCTAAGGATGAGGATGAGGAGATTCCTATGATGAGGATGAGGACATTTCTAAGGATGAGGATGAGGACATTTCTGTGATGAGGACATTTCTAAGGACGAGGATGAGAACATTTCTATGAGGAGGATGAGGACATTTCTAAGGTTGAGGATGAGGACATTTCTAAGGATGAGGATGAGGAGATTCCTATGATGAGGATGAGGACATTTCTAAGGATGAGGATGAGAAATTTTCTTAAAACTCATCATACATTTTATTTACGATTCAAAAGAGGAAGAAAAACTGCAAAAAATAAGTGTTCATCATAAAGCATCCGTTAATCCTACGTGCAAAAAAATGGTGCGAAAAGCGTCACCTTTTTAGCCACCCTGTACTTTTAATATTTAACATTAATACTATCTTTTAATTGAATAGTTTAAAACGTTGCTGAAAGCTGAAAACTAAAGCTGAAACTAAACTCAACTTCAGGTATTATCCCGGTGGCCTTTGTCAGCACTTACTATCAGATTCCACAGGTTTGCTTGCATGAAAAGTGAACTGATACAGTTAGAGATTGTTAGTTATTGTTACTGATTGTTACTGATTGTTACTGATAGAGTTAGCGATTGTTACTGATTGTTAATGATTGTTAATGATTGTTAATGATTGATACTGATAGTGTTAGCGATTGTTACTGATTGTTACTGATTGTTTAAAATGCAAATTTCCTAAGAAATACAATTGAAATCAACATCAGATTGGATGGGGCTATGCCTCAATAGCCACACTCACCGATACGGTTCGTTTCCCCTATTTGACGACGATTTCACCAAACTACAGACAGTTTGTTTATTTAGATTCTATGTAGAATTTGATGTCCCTTCTTTTGATATTCAAATAATTGTCTTAAAGCTTTTCTTCGTCCTAGAATAACTGTCCTAGAGCTTTCCTTTGTCCTAGAGCTTTTCTTTGTCCTAGAATAACTGTCCTAGAGCTTTTCTTTGTCCTAGAATAACTGTCCTAGAGCTTTTCTTTGTCCTAGAGCTTTCCTTTGTCCTAGAGCTTTCCTTTGTCCTAGAATAACTGTCCTAGAGCTTTTCTTTGTCCTAGAGCTTTCCTTTGTCCTAGAGCTTTCCTTTGTCCTAGAATAACTGTCCTAGAGCTTTTCTTTGTCTTAGAGCTTTTCTTTGTCCTAGCTTTGCAGCTTTGCAGCTGTTCTAGAGCTTTTCTTTGTCCTAGAGCTTTTCTTTGTCCTAGAGCTTTTCTTTGTCCTAGAGCTTTTCTTTGTCCTAGAGCTTTGCTCGATCGATCGAAAAGAATTGATTTAGACTTGGCTATGCGTTCATTTCGTTGTGTCAAACGTACAACTGGTAAAGTGCTAAACGACTAAAGCTAACGACCAAGTTACACTCTTTTCAGGGACATTGTCGCCTTGATGTATGGAGAAAATACTTATGGAAATTGTGCGGACATGATCGGAGATGTTACGGTAAAAGTTAGATTAATTAGCAAAAGCCAAAAAGCCTTCTAAAGCCAAATCGAATCGAAATAGCTTGAATATTTTGAAATTGGAATCAGATTTAAACTTTAAAACTAGTACTTTCAAAAACTAGTACAACAAAGACCATTCCTGTAGTTTGTTTATTCAATTATTCTCAGGGAGCTCTCGCAGATCCACTTTACAATACGACGTCGATCTCAGCTACACAACGATTTGAGGTCGATGGTACGAGAGCCACAATCGTGGCTGCATTGCAGAGGGTTGCATCAAAGGCAAGGGGTCGGTAAAATGAATTCTACTGCTATTTATGCTATTGTAATATACTGTACGTATTAGACCACATACGGCAAAACTCACTCGCGCCACAATCCACAACCTGGGCTGAGAAGTTTTACCTCATCCTCCTTATTCTATAGACCTTGCTCCATTGAATTATCACTTCCATCTCTTCCATCTCTTCCAATCAATGCAACATTCTCTGAGAGCATTTTCAAAACAAAGACGACCTCAAAAAGTGGCTCTAAAACTATTTCGACTTGAAACCAAACATTTTTTTACCAGAGAATTCCAACACAACGGGCAAAGTTTATTCAAAATAACGGAAACGATTTCGAGTAAACTGCTTGTTTGGTTGTAAATAAATTTTTAAACAAAACTGTTACCAAGACTTATGGGCCAACCTAATAGATTTGTTCACTAGCCTAATAAATCACTAGTTGCTTCCTGATTGCTACAGGAATATCAATTCAGTTGCTTCCTGATTGCCACAGGAACATCGATTCAGTTGCTTCCTGATTGCTACAGGAATATCAATTCAGTTGCTTCCTGATTGCCACAGGAACATCGATTCAGTTGCTTCCTGATTGCTACAGGAATATCAATTCAGTTGCTTCCTGATTGCCACAGGAACATCGATTCAGTTGCTTCCTGATTGCTACAGGAATATCAATTCAGTTGCTTCCTGATTGCCACAGGAACATCGATTCAGCTCTGCTCAATAAATAATTTCAGTGATTGCTGTATGTTTACCAGATGATCAAACGAAACGCGATTTCCTCATTGCAACGACTGAAGCAGATATGAACAAGTGAGTTGAAAAGGGCTACTGCTGTTTGTTAGTTATAAAATTTGTTATTTAGTTTTTTAGTTTCCCCAATTAGTTTCCCCAATTTTTATTCTCGACATGCTTTCTGTTTTCAGCGCTGATTATGTCTACGTGATTCTGGATTTGGTTGGTTTCGGCTTCGGGCAATTAGGTCAAGGAGGAAAAGGAACAACACAGTGTAAGCACAAAATCTCTGATAAACAGGTTTCACTCTTTCGAATGCCGCTGAAAGAAAGCGCATAAATTCGACCCATGAGTGTATAGCAAAAACTTTCAGGCCAAAAACCTTGTGTTTGCGAGCTATTTCGCAGATTTTGATTACAAATTCGGAATCCTCATTCGATTTCCTATCGAATGAGCTAGGTCTCGTTTCGAAATTCCACGGAGACATAGGAGCCTTTCCTAGTAAGGACCTAGTAAGGACCTAGTAAAGACCTAGTAAAGACCTAGTAAGGACCTAGTAAGGACCTAGTAAAGACCTAGTAAAGACCTAGTAAAGACCTAGTAAGGACCTAGTAAAGACCTAGTAAAGGCCTAGTAAAGACCTAGTAAGGACCTAGTAAAGGCCTAGTAAAGACCATCACGATTGTGCCCGGATTCTTCAGGGTCACAAGTCACAAGGTTCAATTGTATAAGATCTTCTGGCAAATCCCAAGTCAGTCACCACAACAAAACTCATTTCAGTGTCTAGCGGGTTGACCCCATTTTGGTATGACACCGTCAACAACAATCATGATGGTCTTGATTCGGTGGCACAAAAGGCGGCAAATAATTTCTTTGTGGTTGGTGATTGTTATACCTTATTTGCTCCCATAAAAATGTTGATAAATTTTTGTTTTGAAAACGTTTTCCCATTTCCAGATCGATATGACGAGCTCGGCAACGGTGAACGGAATGACAACCACTCAATTGACACCACAGGTTTGATATTGGTTTATTCAAAGATGGACAGATGTAGCTTGTTGATAAATGTTTCAACAATTAATAGAAAAACTGAAAAACTGAAAAACGAGTGGGACAAATGCGACCTTTTTTTTGCGCACCCGGACATTTGCGCACCTTTTTTTCCGCACTTAGCCCATTAGCGCACCTTTTTTCGCGTTTTAAAAAAGTTCTAAAAGCTAATATTAACCAATTTCTATTCCAAAAGTTGTTTTTTTAGTTAATTTTAAGGTGTCGAATTCAAATTTTGACATAACAGAGCGTGTGGAACCAATTTGAAAGACAAAACAGAACAGTATTGGATCTAAAAAGAACCGTATTGGAACAGTATTGGATCTAAAGAACTGTATTGGAACCGTATTGGAACCGTATTAGATCTAAAAAGCACCTTATTGGAGCCCTATTGGAAGCGTATTGGAACCGTATTGGAACCGTATTGGAACCATATTGGAATCGTATTGGAAGCGTATTGGAATGGTATTGGAAACGTATTGGAAGCGTATTGGAACCTTATTGAAACCTTATTGGAACCGTATTGGAACCGTATTGGAACCGTATTGGAACCATATTGGAATCGTATTGGAAGCGTATTGGAATGGTATTGGAAGCGTATTGGAACCGTATTGGAACCTTATTGGAACCGTATTGGAATCGTATTGGAAGCGTATTGGAACCTTATTGAAACCTTATTGAAACCGTATTGGAACCGTATTGGAACCTTATTGGAACCGTATTGGAACCGTATTGGAACCGTATTGGAACAGTATTGGATCTAAAAAGAACCGTATTGGAACCGTATTGGAACCGTACTAGGTCAAATTACAGGAAATTGTTGATTTTTCTCTTTGTATAACTCCGTCCGTTCGCTTCCACAAGCTCTGATATGCCAAAATTTCGATTCTACGCCCTAAAATTACCTAGAAAAACAACTTTTGGAATAGAAATTGGTTAATATTAGCTTTTAGAGCTTTTTTAAAACCCGAAAAAAGGTGCGCTAATGGGCTAAGTGCGGAAAAAAAGGTGCGCAAATGTCCGGGTGCGCAAAAAAAGGTCGCATTTGTCCCACTCCCCTCCACAAGCGCTATTTGGGTCACAAGCACTATTTGGGTTTGGGAACTTGAGACAAAAAGAATGAGCTATCGTAACCTTGCTGACCAAAAAACATATCCCTAATCCTACAGTAATTCCACATTTTTATGGCTTTGCTTCAATGAAATCCTTTTCTTTTCAGCTACCAGTAAGCACATTTTGTAATCTCTTTGTACTCATTTGAAATTAATTTGAAAAGCCGAGAACATGGGGATTAGCACACCAATAACGAAGCCTTACATAAAGTGTTTCATTTAAAAAATTGAATAAAAAGTACGCTGAGATAAAAAGTACGCTGGGATAAAAAGTACGCTGAGATAAAAGGTCCACTGGGATAAAAAGTCCACTGGGATAAGAAGTGTGTAATTTAGCATTCTCATGTAAGTTTGTGAAACCAGTAAAACATGTAGAACTTGTAATTGGTGGCCAGTAAAATCTGTGATCTATATTAGATCTAAATTAGTTTAAAAAAAACTCCTTTCCACATTTCCAGGTGTTGTCCAACGTTCGCGGCTCACCATTCTACTGCAACACCACCGATTGCTTGGAGAATTCAATCAAATACACCGGGGTACTAGTCTTCAACTTTATTATCTTTGTTTGAGCGCATGCTGGAGCAACTTTTCAACTTGTAACTTGTAGCTTGTAACTTGTAGCTTGTAGCTTGTAGCTTTTATATTTGAATCGAGCTCAATCAAAGCTATTAGGTTGTAAACTCTCCCAGAAACCCACCAGAAGAAGTACATGCTGTCGGTTGGTGGGATCTCTTAGGAGACATTGGGAGCTTCTCGATAATAAGCAGACAATCAATGCTCTATTATACAGAGACCACCTCAAAGAAAGCTTGATGAAAAAATTTAAGGAAAAGTACCCCAATTTGAAAAAGGTCATTCTCCAACACGACAAGGCTAGTTCACATACGGCAAAGTTGAAACGCTCCACAATCCACGAGTTGAACTAGGAGCTCTTACCCCACCCACCATATTTTCCTGATCTTAGTCCTACAGATCATCATCTTTTTCGATCGATGCAACACGCAGCACAATGGAGAGCACTTTCAAAATGAAGAAGACCTCAAAAAGTGGCTCTAAGACGATTTTGACTCGAAATCGAAAATTTTCTTAGAGGGGAATCCGCCAATTGCCAGTAAAGTGAGCGAAATTGATTGCAATGGAGAACTGCGATTAAACTGCTCTTTTCGTTGTCAATCAACATTGTTTTGAATTTGACTTAGTTTACAATCTAATAGTAGACGAATTTTAAAAAGTTTCATTGCATTTTACAGATTTTCTCATTTCTTTTCAATCTCCCTGACCTGGAGCTTGAAAGGAGCTTTATAAGAACTAAATAGGAACTATAAAGGAGCTTTAAAAGAACTTTAAAGGAGTTTTATAGCAACTAAATAGGGACTCTAGACGAGCTTGAAGGAGCTTTAAAGGAGCTTTATAGGAACTAAATAGGGACTATAAAGGAGCTCTAAAGGAGCCTTAAAGGGGCTTTAAAGGAGCTTTAAAGGAGCCAAATAGGGACTATAAAGGAGCTTTAAAGGAGCTTTAAAGGAGCTTTAAAGGAGCTTTATAGGAGCTTTAAAGGAGCTTTATTGGAGCTTTAAAGGAGATTTATAGGAGCTTTAAAGGAGATTTATAGGAACTAAATAGGGACTATAAAGGAGGTCTAAAGGAGCCTTAAAGGGGCTTTAAAGGAGCTTTAAAGGAGCTTTAAAGGAGGCCAATCTCTGGCCAGGGTTTGACAAACGTCAAGAGCGTTTATGGGAATGAATTTTCTTACCATAAAACGAAGTGCAATAAAACGAAGGACAATAAAGCGCTGGTTCCACCATTTCAGAAATGAGAACATTTCCCTGGAAACAATGAGACGATGATGAGCGATCGGGTAAACCTTGAACCTTGAGACCTTGAGAGCTTGAAAATGCAGATATTCTTCAAAAAATTCACGAAAACCCCCGGATTTCGTGAAATTGCGGCTGATGTTGGATACTCTTATGTAACAATTCAAAAGCACCCCCTTTAAAAGTTTAAAAAAGAGTTTGAAACAAGGCCTGTTTGTGAACTAAATCACTACAAATTTGTGGACTAAATCACTACAAATCTTTATCACATTAAATAGAATTTTAAATTTTAATTTACTTACTATTAGGAATTACAATTAACAGTACAGTACAGTAAAATAACAGTACAATTAACAGAACAGTATTCTAGAGCTGAAATTGGGTTAGTAGGGATGAGTCGCGTTGCTAGGCTAGGCTTAAACCTGGACTAGAATTTTTGAATCAACCAGAGACTAAGTCAGGTACTTAATCTGCGCAGGCTAGCTCAGGTACACTACTGGACAATGAAATATGATATTTGAAAAACGATGGTCACTTTCGCGCGTCTGTAACTCCCTTGTCTTTACCGTATTTCTAAATATTAATATTACCATTGTGTAGCCCTTGAAAAGAGCTTTCAGAAAATGTATAACACTAATAGTTTAAACTCAAAGACAAGGGAGTTACAGACGCGCGAAAGTGACGATCGTTTTTCAAATATGATATTTCATTGTCCAGTACTGTACTTAATCTAAGCAGGCTAGCTCAGGTACTTAATCGGAGTTAGCGTTTCTGGCTTTTGACACCCCTCCAAAGATTCCCCTTTGCTCCATTGTTTGTCTTTGTTAAACGTTTGCATTTATGTTTGCCTGTTGCCTGTTTTTTTGCTTGCTGCCTGTTCAAAAACCAAAGCACAAATAAGGATAGATTCAGATGGGTTCAATGGCTCAACAGTTGTACGATGCTTTTATGTGGTATGCCTATTGTTTGAATGCATCGATGACCATTGATCCGATCAATGGATGGAGAAACGCGACGATATTCAATCAAGTGCAAACAACGATTTCGTTTCAAGGTTGGCATTGTTTTAAAATGATTTTATCTTGCTTAGGCTGGACCGGATTGGACCAAATGACTCCCAATATCACGAGGGTTCCTGAGTTTTTCCTCTACGGTATCACCTCGACGGGCACTGTCACTCAATTCATCAATTTCACCTGGGCTGGCACTTTTGATTATATAGTAGGTGATGAATCGATGGACTTGTGCATAGTTATGATGCATCAAATTGATAAACTTGATACCAGATCTGAGAGATGAAATAAGGTCTTATCATTTGCCTTTAATTTGCCAAATTCTTTGCATAACTTGAATAATATTGGGTTGGTGAATTGAAAACTGCGGGCTATTGTCGTATGTGACAGTTTGAGCACTTTCTTCAAAAGAAACCCATTTTGGTGTCAATGGAAAAGTTGTAGAGAATCAAAAATCAAGCTTATATCCAAATTTCCAAAAAGATACACTTAGTAGTTTCGCTTAAAATGCAAGTTTTGTGTTTTCAAAAATTTGTGTGGTCTATGTGTTCTTTGTGCGGCCGCGTAATCGCTCCTCGTCTGGCGCAGGGCTTTTACATAACCCCCTTCCCTCTCCCTAGCAGTCACTTGTGAAAATATTAAGCAATGCTGCCAGCCAAAGGAAGAACTCGAGAAACAAAGCAAAGAGAACGGAAAAATGGTCAAACGATTCATCTGTCGGACTCCGAATGCTCAAATTGGACATTGACTTCTCGTCAAATCAAGGCTAATCTCAATCTACTGGGTTGGTGAATTGAAAACTGCGGACTATTGTCACATGTCACAGTTTGAGCCCTTTCTTCAAAGGGTTACGGTATCTGTCTGTCTTTCTGTCTGTCTTTCTGTCTGCCTTACTGTACGGGCATTTTTCTAGCCGTATTTTGATCAATATTTTATTTTTCATTTTGGTTTTCAAGAAATGCCAAATTTACGCCAAATTGTGCCAATTTTTCACAAAACTTGCATTTTAAGCGAAACTACTAAGTGTATCTTTTTGAAAATTTGGCTATAGGCCTAATTTTTGATTCTCTACAACTTTTCTATTGACACCAAAATGGGTTTCTTTTGAAGAAAGTGCTCAAACTGGGACATCTCCAGTCTCCATCTCCAGTCCTCCATTTTTGAGTCTCACACTTGTCTCACACACAAACCAAAATCCTACTACGAAAGAGGAATCCGCAAATTGCCTGTAAAATGGGCAGAAGTCGTCAATAGTAATGGAAATTATTTGGAATGAATTGATGGTTTTATGTTGGATAAATTTTAGTTCAAAGTCCCACAGCTTTCAATTCACCAACTCAATAGTTAGCTATTTAAAGTAAATAAATAATATAAATAAATGAATAGACGCAATTATCTCACTAATTCAATATTTTCAATATTCTGGGTGGCCTAAAATTATAGCAAATCGGCTTTCGTGCAAAGTTACCATACAGATCGCTGCTCTGCTCAGCTTTCAGGGAATTCAACTGTTGGCTTTCAAAATTTTGAAATTATTGAAAATCTTCTGATGTGAAATGCTTCAGATAAACCCATTTCTTGATAAAAAACAAAAAAAAGGAGTAAATACGAAGCGGGAAATCCTTCAAAATATGTGTAAATCCTGTTGCACAAAAAAGTTGCGGAAATTAGCCTACCCCCAGAATATTCTTTAAAAGTTCTTATTCTTTTATTCTTCAAAAGAGATAAAGGCTTGAGACATACGGATTCGGACTCTGCCCAATACCACTAAGCGAACGGATAAAAATGCCTTCAACACGATCAGAGATCAAGCTTTGCACAATCAATAAGCGCTCAGCGTCAGAGTTTTTCCAGAATAGTCCGCAGCTGACGCCTTTGCTGCAAGAATTCAATCCACGGTGGCGCCCAATTATGGAAACTCGGTTTTTCGGCTGTAACTGCTGAGATTCTGCTGAGAGGTTGGCACCTCTGAACTTCGAAATACTATAAAAAAACGTAACACTGTGTTTCTAAACTAAAAATTGAAATTGACCACAGAAATCAACTGGAGATTTCAGATAAATATGAAATTAGGGGAATTGAATGCTTAGGCATCGAGCTACAGCCGAAAAACCGAGTTTCCGATAATTGTGCGCCACCCTTTTATTATCCATTATACCACAATCACTGTCGAAAGGTGGCCTTAAATGGGTTTAGCTAAAACTTGTTTGCCAAGTATCTCGCGTTTCCAATGCGTTCTGCAAAAACTAAAACCGGATTCGGAAACAGCGTAAAAAACTAAGTCTTGATCTCCTTGGATAAGCTAGTTCTCATTTGGAAAGGCCACAGTCACCTAGTACTATTCTTTCGTAAGCCTTGTGATGAGCCTTGTGATTGAATGATATCGAAATCGAGTTGATTGGATGGAAACTGGGTGTTTGATTACGGTAGATTCTTCGAACTTCGAAGAACTATAAAAAAAGTAACACTGTGTTTCTAAACTAAAAATTGAAATTGACGACAGAAATCAATTGGAGATTTCATATAAATATGAAATTAGGGGAATTGAATGATTAGGCATCGAGCAACAGCCGAAAAACCGGGTCTCCATAATTGTGCGCCTCCATAATTGTGATTGAATTCTTGCAGCAAAGGCAAGCCGTGTCAGCTGCGGACTATTCTGGAAAAACTCTGACGCTGAGCGCTGATTGATTGTGCAAAGCTTGAGCAAAGCTGTTGAAGGCATTTATATCCGTTCGCTTAGTGGTATTGGGCAGAGTTAGAATCTGTGTGCCTCAAGCCAGTGTCTCAAGCCAGCGTCTCAAGTTTCGAGTTCGGTTCTATATCATTTTACGCAGCCTACAAAAAAACCTTTGAAAAACGAGATTTCATATAAATATGAAACTAGGGGAATTGAATGATTAGGCATCGAGCCACAGCCGAAAAACAGTCGATAATTGTGCGCCATTCTTCAGAAAGTCACTCCAACTTACACCGATGCTCCATCAACGATTTGGGCGATACGTGGCGGCATTCAACCGTTGGCCACACCACGTTGCGGGTAATTTGAATTGACTGGATGAATTGACGGGATGAATTGATGGGATGAATTGAATTTATCCGCTTTGAATTCAATTCCGAACTATTGTTTATAATCGTTAAAAGCAATTCAGCATTCAGCAATTCAGCAATTCAGTTAAACAAAAGCAATTCAGCTTCGATGGAAACGATTGTCCATTGTCGGATTGGCAACGAAGTGGCATTTATATTTGCATTGGTGGCGGGGTCCTGCTTTTATTTGTTCTTTTCTTTTTCGTTGTTCTGATCTACATTTTCAGGTGAGTAAAATATTAGAAAATATCTTGAAATCAAAGCTATCAAAGCTATCAAAGCTATCAAAGCTACCAAAGCTATCAAAGCTATTCAAAGCTTTGGTTTTGGTCCTGGTTTCTTCTTTGGTGCAGAAACGAACTCGGACTTTCTATAATTTCGCACGGCAGAGTCGGATCGGCCCAAATTTTTTGCGATTTTCCTTATTGAGTCGCCAATCCTCAAACGGGCATCAAACTCGGACTCAAAGCTATTCAAAGCTCGAACTCGGACTCAAAGCTATTCAAAGCTCGAACTCGGACTCAAAGCTATTCAAAGCTCGAACTCGGACTCAAAGCTATTCAAAGCTTCAAGGCAACTATTACCCTTATTTAGTTGTTAAACTTATTTATTCAATTGCACCTTACAAAAGCTCAAATCCCATTTCAGAGAGAAACGCAAAGAGGCCGCTCGTCGAGACGCCGAATGGCAAATTCCTTTTCTCACTTTGGAGAAACTCGGCAAAGCTAAATCGGTTAGCATGAAATCATTTTTAATAGTTCGATTCTTTTAGCACGAAAGCCGAAGCATGCACTCGTTGCACTCGATGCGATCCTCGAAATCGTCTCACTCGAAATTCTCGATGAACAGCAAACAGGACACCGCTGACCTTGGATATTTTGTGCTAAACGGTAATTGTGAACGTTTTTGCTAAACGGTAATTTCATTTTACATCTAAACCATTTAGATGAACCTGTTTTTGCTTATAAATACAAAATGATGCCCCGGTTGATCTTTGAAGACTTTGCCGAGTTCAGAATGGTAGGTTTTCGAGCTGATCTTTGTCTTGTATTGGATTCAGCTTGTATTGGAGAGCTTAATGTCTTGTACTGACATTCAGCTGTCTTGTACTGACATTCAGCTGCCTTGTACTGACATTCAGCTGCCTTGTACTGACATTTAGCTGTCTTGTACTGACATTCAGCTGTCTTGTACTGGCATTCAGCTGTCTAATACCACTCAAGGCAATAAGCTGAACCATAAAAATGCCTAAAAATTGTGTTTATGCATGATTATGATTAAGATTATGCATAAAAGAAATTCGAATTTTAGCTACGTAAGCTAGAACACGACAATGTGCATCGTTTTATTGGAATCTGTCACGATCATTCTCCGATGATGTCCATTTGGAAATTTGCCTCGAGAGGAACACTGGAGGTATTTCGATTTGCTGACATTACGCTGTTGAGAGTTTTGAGAGTTTTGAGAGCTTTGAGAGTTTTGAAAGTTCTAGCTGGAAAATCTGAAAGCTAAAAAATTCTAGGAAGTGATCGCGAAAGGATCGATGAATCTGGATGCTTTCTTTGCCATGTCGTTGATTCGAGATCTCAGCGAAGGCCTTCAATTCATTCATCGCTCATTTCTCGGTGTACATGGGAACTTGTGGTTTGTCATGTTTAGCATTCTAGCAACTATTCTTGCTTCTAGCAACCATTAGGCCACTATTCTTGGGGCAGTAGGCGAATTTTTTGAACTTTTTCTCCATTCACTATTGATTTGTACGGATTTGGTTTACTGAAAATGTACCTGTTTTGAATTAATAAGGGAAGGTCATGAAATCAAGGTGGCTAATCGAAATAAGACCATCCGATACAGAATTTTACGCTGATTCCGGATCTGCTGCTTGTTTTTGCGCAATGGGGTCGAAATCGCAAGGAATTTAGGGACAAGGGATTTAGGCAAGGTCACGAAATCAAGGTGGCTAATCGAAATAACACCATCCGATACAGAATTTTACGCTGATTCCGGATCTGCTGCTTGTTTTTGCGCAATGGGGTCGAAATCGCAAGGAATTTAGGGACAAGGGATTTAGGCAAGGTCACGAAATCAAGGTGGCTAATCGAAATAACACCATCCGATACAGAATTTTACGCTGATTCTGAATCTGCTGTCCGTTTTTGTGCAATAGGTCAGAATCGCATGGAATTTAGCAAAGAAGTTCAGCAAAGAAGCAAAGTTCTTAGCTTCTCTTATAACACTTGCGCGCCCGAGAGAGAAATGATTGCGAGAGAGGAATGTAGCGGATAACGAATGCAAAGCTGTAGGTCAAGGTTTCGTGTCAAGGTGTCAAGGCAATTACGAAGAGAAAGCGGAACTCTATAGCTGTTCAAAAAAAGAAAAACTTAAAGAGAGTCCAACCCTCGATCTACAGCTTTGAATGCAGACACGTCATCCGCTTCATTCCGTCATCAGCTTCATTCCGTCATCAGCTCCATTCCGTCATCAGCTCCATTCCGTCATCAGCTCCATTCCGTCATCCGCTCCATTCCGTCATCAGCTCCATTCCGTCATCAGCTCCATTCCGTCATCCGCTCCATTCCGTCATCCGCTCCATTCCGTCATCCGCTCCATTCCGTCATCCGTCATCAGCTCCATTCCGTCATCCGCTCCATTCCGTCATCCGTCATCAGCTCCATTCCGTCATCCGTCATCAGCTCCATTCCGTCATCAGCTCCATTCCGTCATCCGTCATCAGCTCCATTCCGTCATCCGCTCCATTCCGTCATCCGTCATCAGCTCCATTCCGTCATCCGTCATCAGCTCCATTCCGTCATCCGCTCCATTCCGTCATCCGCTCCATTCCGTCATCCGCTCCATTCCGTCATCCGCTCCATTCCGTCATCCGTCATCAGCTCCATTCCGTCATCCGTCATCAGCTCCATTCCGTCATCCGTCATCAGCTCCACTCCGTCAACCGTCATCCGCTCCATTCCGACACTACACAACCATTACTTTGTCTCGTGCTCAAGCGTTATAAGAGAGGCTAAATTCCTTGCGATTCCGACCTATTTACCCAAAAGCTATTGCTTGCTTGCTGTCAGATTTGGATAAATGATTGTTCATCATAATTCAATTTGAATTTACATGAATTTTAAAATCAGCTTTCAGCTCTCTTTCAGCTCTCGAACTTAAATTCTAAACATTCTAATGATTTTACTCAAAATTTTACTCTTATTCACTCTCAAAATTTTGCTTTTATTTCAGCTCTCGAACGTGTTGGATTGACGAGAGATGGCAATTGAAAGTGAGCGGCTTTGGTTGCACGAGTCTTCGAAGAGGAGAGAAAATGGAGAAAAAAAGTAAAACAGCTAAAAACTAAAAAACTATTTAGTGAACTTTATTGTTTTACAATTACACACAAAATTTTCTCAACTTTAGGACAACTCTGGCTTGCCCCAGAGCTTCTCCGATCTCCACAAATCAATGCCACAAAAGAGGCCGATGTTTATGCATTTGGCATCATTTGCTCGGAGATTGTCACAAGGAAAGAAGTCTTTGATCTATCGAATCGAGATGAGAAAACAGAAGGTTTAAGAAGCTTATATTGTTAATTTGAAAAAAAAAAACTCCAGAACTTGTGTATCTTCTGAAAAAAGGAGCTTCGAATCCACCTCGACCGAATCTAGTAGTGAGCGAGGAAATGGAGTTGAATCCGGCTGTGGTGGGTGCAAATCTGGCCAAGAAACCAAAAACTGCAAGCTGGCCAATTTTAAAGCTTCATTAAACAATTACATTGATTTGAATACGATAAAGAAAGAAAAGATTTACATTAGACTACGTCAAATGAAATTTTGAAATTTTTCTTCTCATCCTCACCACTTTAAAATCAACTTTTCCATTTTTCTTTGTATTATTAGATAGTTTAGAGTTTAGCTTATTATTATTAGATAGTTTTTCAAAGCTCTATCTAATGATGAAAAGAAAATTTGGTATTGGTATTGGTATTTTACCGTTATACCTTCCCATTTTTCCCTATGCATCGATACCGTTGTACATCCCGAAAATTTGTTTTAAAAAAACCAGCCAGAAGAACCCGATTAACGGTGGGTTTTTCTTGCTGGGTGTTTTGGGATTAACGCATAGTTTGAGCTCTCGAGTTAAAGGGCTTGAGTTAACGGGCTTCAGTTAAAGAGCTTCAGTTAAAGAGCTTGAGTTAAAGGGTTCGAGTTAAAGGGCTTGAGTTAAAGGGCTTGAGTTAACGGGCTTGAGTTAAAGGGCTTGAGTTAACAGGCTTGAGTTAAAGGGCTTGAGTTAAAGGGCTTGAGTTTAAGGACCCGAGCTTGAGCAGTATAAATGCAAATTTCCATGGGTGACGTTAATCAACAAAACATCAGTTGTTGTTAGAAAAAATTTGAGAAAAAGTCATGGTTTAGTTTTTTATAAAAGTTCGTCCGAAGTTGCATTTCATCCTCCCCAACCCAGCTTCTCAATCACCTAATTTTCAGCTGCACATGATCCGTGATTGTTGGGCAGAAGAGTCAATCTCTCGTCCAAACATTTCCACAATTAACCGAATCATAAAGTCGATGGTTGTAAGTTGAAATTAAGATAAAATATCGATCAAATTTTAGACTCAAGGTGAAAAGGGAGGACGAGAGAATTTGATGGATCACGTTTTTGGATTGATGGAATCGTATGCGGAGACGCTGGAAAAAGAGGTATCGTTGCTTGAATGTTCTGAGGAAACTTCGAAAGATTCTAATTCTAATAAGATTCTAATTCTAATATTAAAAATGACGTTTAAAAAGAGTTTTTCTTGTAGTCATTGATCGGGTTGGTGAATTGAAAACTGCGGGACTTTGAACTAAAATTTATTCAACATAAAACCATCAGTTCATTCCAAATAATTTCCATTATTATTGACGACTTCTGCCCATTTTACAGGCAATTTGTGGATTCCTCTTTCGTAGTAGGATTTTGGTTTGTGTGTGAGACAAGTGTGAGACTCAAAAATGGAGGACTGGAGACTCAAAAATGAAGGAATGTCCCAGTTTGAGCACTTTCTTCAAAAGAAACCCATTTTGGTGTCAATAGAAAAGTTGTAGAGAATCAAAAATTAGGCTTATAGCCAAATTTCCAAAAAGGTACACTTAGTAGTTTCGCTTAAAATGCAAGTTTTGTGAAAAATTGGCACAATTTGGCGTAAATTTGGCATTTCTTGAAAACCAGTTTTTGAATCGTTCTGAAAATTTGGATATAAGCTTGATTTTTGATTCTCTACAACTTTTCCATTGACACCAAAATGGGTTTCTTTTGAAGAAAGGGGTCAAACTGTGACATGTGACAATAGCCCGCAGTTTTCAATTCACCAACCCAGTAGATTGAGATTAGCCTTGACGAGAAGTCAATGTCCAATTTGAGCATTCGGAGTCCGACAGATGAATCGTTTGACCATTTTTCCGTTCTCTTTGCTTTGTTTCTCGAGTTCTTCCTTTGGCTGGCAGCATTGCTTAATATTTTCACGAGTGACTGCTAGGGAGAGGGAAGGGGGTTATGTAAAAGCCCTGCGCCAGACGAGGAGCGATTACGCGGCCGCACAAAGAACACATAGACCACACAAATTTTTGAAAACACAAAACTTGCATTTTAAGCGAAACTACTAAGTGTATCTTTTTGGAAATTTGGATATAAGCTTAATTTTTGATTCTCTACAACTTTTCCATTGACACCAAAATGGGTTTCTTTTGAAGAAAGGGCTCAAACTGTGACATGTGACAATAGCCCGCAGTTTTCAATTCACCAACCCAATAGCTTAACAAAAATCTGTTTCAGGTACAAGATCGGATGGTTGAGTTGGTGGAAGAGAAAAAGAAAAGTGACATTCTTCTACAAAGGATGCTGCCAAAGTATTTTATTTTCATTTTATTCGTATTTTACTTGTATTTTATTTGTATTTACATTTTTTGCATGTATTTTACGTATTTTACAAAGTTTGGAAGTATCTGAAACTAGCAAAATCAATTTTTTTTTCAGACAAGTGGCCGAAAAATTGAAAATGGGTCAATCTGTCGAGCCAGAATCTTTCGAAAGCGTCACGATTTTCTTCTCCGATGTTGTCCAGTTCACTAATTTGGCCGCTAAATGTACTCCACTGCAGGTAAGCACTAAATGTCTCTACGATAACACAGAGCTCATTGTAGATCGTCAATTTGCTCAACGACTTGTACACGATGTTCGACACGATCATTGAACAGCATTCTGTTTATAAAGTGGGTTCGGCAACAATTTGGTAACAACAACAATTCGGTAACAACAAACAATATTCGGTTCAAACAATATTATATCCCAAATTTGAATAGATATAGGTTTGCATTAAACAAATACAAAAACAAAATCTGTAACAGAAGTCTCATGGCTTCTACAGGGTAACAGAAGCTTCAGGGCTTCTACAGGCTAACAGAAGTCTCAGGGCTTCTACAGGGTAACAGAAGCTTCAGGGCTTCTACAGGGTAACAGAAGCCTCAGATCTTCTACAGGGTAACAGAAGCCTCAGATCTTCTACAGGGTAACAGAAGCCTCAGATCTTCTACAGGGTAACAGAAGCCTCAGATCTTCTACAGGGTAACAGAAGCCTCAGATCTTCTACAGGGCAACAGAAGCCTCAGGGCTTCTACAGGGTAACAGAAGTCTCAAGGCTTCTACAGGGTAACAGAAGCCTCAGATCTTCTACAGGGTAACAGAAGCCTCAGGGCTTCTACAGGGTAACAGAAGTCTCAAGGCTTCTACAGGGTAACAGAAGCCTCAGGGCTTCTACAGGGTAACAGAAGTCTCAAGGCTTCTACAGGGTAACAGAAGCCTCAGGGCTTCTACAGGGTAACAGAAGTCTCAAGGCTTCTACAGGGTAACAGAAGCCTCAGGGCTTCTACAGGGTAACAGAAGTCTCAGGGCTTCTACAGGGTAACAAGAAATAGCCCTTAGAAATAACCCAAGAAATAACCCGTTCAACACATCTCTCTCTTTGCAAATCTTTGGGCGCTTATTCCTCTTTTGTGAGCAATCAGAATTCTTTGATTTTTTGAGAACTTCTTAGCGCACACAACAGGATTCAGTTTTTTGATCTGTCGTTATCACAGTTTTACTCAGAAACGCACCCGTAGTGCCCCGGGGCTACTATTACAGCTTATTAGCTTATTCATTTTTTGTCACTAACAAGTTTTTACTTAATTTGAATTCAGGTGGAAACGATAGGTGATGGCTATCTGTGTGTATCAGGTCTCCCCTACCGTAATGGCATTCAACATGTTCGTGAAATCGCCGAAATGTCGCTGAGCTTTTTGACCGTGGTACAGGTAACGATAAACGCTTTTGAATGGCTTTTGTTAAGGAATTAGCGAAATATCGTAATCATTCTTATAAAATGATGAAGCCCCGCCCCCCTGACAGCTAAAAAGTTGCATCAAATTGCGAGTTTTCAAGTAAAATCTCTGAAACTTTGTCACAACATGCACATTCCATAGACACAGCTATAGAAGTAAAACAAATTGAATTCGCTTCACTTATCACTGAGAAAACTTAAGATCTCTGAATCGTGTGTGGGCGGGGCTTCATCATTTTCATCATTTTATTAGAATACTGTATTTTCTCTAATAGTACTGCACCCGGGCGAGCCGAGTTGATGACTATTTTACGGTTTCCAAGCTTTTGCAGAAGCTGCAGAAGCTGCAGAAGCTCAACACTCAAATCCCCCACTAGATCGCATCGTTAGCTACATTTTCCGACTCCACATCGATAGGTTCTGATAAGCGGCTCTCGAGATTTCGAGCAATTTAGGTGACGCTCAGGGTGCACTACTATTAGAGAAAATGCGGTAATCAGTATTGTAGAATAACTAATCAATAACCAGAATTGTAGAATAACTAATCAATAACTAGTATTGTACATTAGCTAAGCAATAACTAGTCTTGTACAATAACTAATCAAACCATTATTGTACAATAACTAATCAAACCAGTACTGTACAATAGCTAATGAATAGCCAGCAACAGTACAATAACTTAGAGAAAATGCGGTAATTATGGTATAGATCTGTTTTAGGCATTCCGGATTCCCCATCTCCCATCCGAATCGATCAATCTTCGAATCGGAATGCATTCGGGCTCTTGTGTAGCTGGGGTTGTCGGTTTGGCTATGCCAAGGTAAAGCAATAAAGTTAACGACCTCAAAGTTAACGACCTCAAAGTTAACGACCTCAAAGTTAACGACCTCAAAGTTAACGACCTCAAAGTTAACGACCTCAAAGTTAACGACCTCAAAGTTAACGACCTCAAAGTTAACGACCTCAAAGTTAACGACCTCAAAGTTAACGACCTCAAAGTTAACGACCTCCAAAGTTAACGACCTCAAAGTTAACGACCTCAAAGTTAACGACCTCAAAGTTAACGACCTCAAAGTTAACGACCTCAAAGTTAACGACCTCAAAGTTAACGACCTCAAAGTTAACGACCTCAAAGTTAACGACCTCAAAGTTAACGACCTCAAAGTTAACGACCTCAAAGTTAACGACCTCAAAGTTAACGACCTCAAAGTTAACGACCTCAAAGTTAACGACCTCAAAGTTAACGACCTCAAAGTTAACGACCTCAAAGTTAACGACCTCAAAGTTAACGACCTCAAAGTTAACGACCTCAAAGTTAACGACCTCAAAGTTAACGACCTCAAAGTTAACGACCTCAAAGTTAACGACCTCAAAGTTAACGACCTCAAAGTTAACGACCTCAAAGTTAACGACCTCAAAGTTAACGACCTCAAAGTTAACGACCTCAAAGTTAACGACCTCAAAGTTAACGACCTCAAAGTTAACGACCTCAAAGTTAACGACCTCAAAGTTAACGACCTCAAAGTTAACGACCTCAAAGTTAACGACCTCAAAGTTAACGACCTCAAAGTTAACGACCTCAAAGTTAACGACCTCAAAGTTAACGACCTCAAAGTTAACGACCTCAAAGTTAACGACCTCAAAGTTAACGACCTCAAAGTTAACGACCTCAAAGTTAACGACCTCAAAGTTAACGACCTCAAAGTTAACGACCTCAAAGTTAACGACCTCAAAGTTAACGACCTCAAAGTTAACGACCTCAAAGTTAACGACCTCAAAGTTAACGACCTCAAAGTTAACGACCTCAAAGTTAACGACCTCAAAGTTAACGACCTCAAAGTTAACGACCTCAAAGTTAACGACCTCAAAGTTAACGACCTCAAAGTTAACGACTTTATCAATTTCAGATATTGTCTATTCGGAGACACCGTCAACACAGCTTCCAGAATGGAAAGCAACGGGAAACGTAATGCTTAAAGTTGAGAGAAGACATTGAACAGTTCATTTAGCTGGTCGAATTCACATCTCTGGCGAAGCGGAGGCTCTGTTGAGACAAGTGGGAGGATATGAGACAGAAACGAGAGGAGAAGTCATCATCAAGGTATTCAAGCATTTAACTATTTAGGCAACTGGAAGGGCAACTGGATTTAACTTCAACTTTAACAAGAATTGAATTCCTGTTGGACCAAGTCAAAGCTGTCAAACAAAGCATTCATTCAGGGCAAAGGCGTGATGGAGACTTTTTGGTTGAACGGTCGATCATCGACTGGATCCTCTCACAATCAGCCTCGTCTCTTAAGCCGCTCCTCACCCCTCCAAACATCCACAAATACTCGTCTCTTCCATTCTCGTGAACCTACTCCCCCAATGCAAAATGAGAGGTCAATGAAATCAACTCATCAACCAATTCTACCCAATTATGATGAGGCTGAAGGAATGTATCGAAAAGCGAATCCGAGAAAAAACAGCTAAATCACATTGACTAGAGACACCTCTTAATAACTCATTTTTTTGCTTTCTTTCAAATTTTATTGTTTCCGATTAAAACTTTATATTTTGAGTCAACAATAACAGCTTCATTGTTTTTTTCAATTCGACTGTAATAGTAGCTGTAGTACGACAAGAGAACGGTGTAGACATTTAGATCTACAAACAATTTCCATTTTGGTGGCGGCCAGCTGTGAAATGGGTAATTTTTTGGAATTTGAAATTAAAAATGATCCGTTTGGTGCTCCCATAATCATTGTGCTGAGACGAGCGGTGAATCAAAAGAATCCCATTCAAATGATTGAGGCTAAACAATAAACCGAGAATAATATCTACTATATATCTACTATATATAAAGCAGAAGAGACGACTGTCTGTCTGTCCGTTTCTCTGTCCGTCTGTCTATCTGTCTGTCTGTCTGTCTGTCTGTCTGTCTGTCTGTCTGTCTGTCTGTCTGTCTGTCTGTCTGTCTGTCTGTTTGTCTGTTTGTCTGTCCGTTTCTCTGTCCGTCTGTCTGCCTGTCTGCCTGTCCATCTGTCTGTCCGTCTGTCCGTCTGTCCGTCTGTCTATATGCCTGTCTGTCTGTTTGTATGTTTGTCTGTCTGTCTGTCTGTCTATCTGTCTGTCCGTCACAGGCACTTTTCTCGACGCCCAGATCGCATTTCGAGATGCAGTTTTTAGAGCATACATACACGGACGCGATACTTGAGGTTCTCCATCTCCAAAGTATTGGAGCAGAAAATATCAATTGAGAAGCAATAGAAACTAGTCAAATGTGGCTAGTAAAATGCAAAAATAAATAGCAAAAGATGTTGAACAGATGATGAGATGCAAGCTATCAAAGTTCATCCACATTTCTTATGCATTAGCCTAATATGCTTTGAAATAAAGCTTTGCAGAGCTTTCTTCAAAATTTACATATAAAAATCATGCTAATTTCTTGCTAATCTCTCAAGAGCCATTTTATAGAGCAATGATAGATCTTTTTGATTGAATCGACAATGAATCGAGCTTTTATGCGTTCCAGAAAAATTTTTGAAAGTCGGCGCTATTTGATACTCAAGATTATGATTAATGATGTAAATATGATCGTAAATAAAGTGATAAAGATAAAATAAAACAAGCCAAACAAGCCATTTTCAAGCCAAACTTGAAAAAAACAAACTTTTTTAAGCCATCTAAAGTTTTCTTCAGAGTAATTAAATAATCTAATGATTTTTTTTTGATAAGAGTTTGCAGCTAGAGTTTGCAGAGTAATTGGACTTGCAAATCTGCAGTCTAATAAAGCAAATATTTAAGTTAGAAAGGTTTCTAGCAACATAAACTTTGATATAAACTAAAAAAAGCAGAAACGCCAATAGTATAGGTAGAGGAAAACTTAATAATGTTGTGCATGCAGTAAGATTCGTCGAATTCGTTAAACAAGTCTGCGACGTTAAACAAGTCTGCGACGTTAAACAAGTTCAGCTATTTCAGCGTCGGCGCTATTTCAGCGTCGGCGCTATTTCAGCGTCGGCGCTATTTCAGCGTCGGCGCTATTTCAGCGTCGGCGCTATTTCAGCGTCGGCGCTATTTCAGCGTCGGCGCTATTTCAGCGTCGGCGCTATTTCAGCGTCGGCGCTATTTCAGCGTCGGCGCTATTTCATACTCAAAATCATGATTAATGATGTAAATATGATCGTAAATAAAGTGATAAGGATAAAATAAAACAAGTTTATTCCAAGCCAAACTTGAAAAAACAAACTTTGCCATCTAAAAAAGCCAAAGCCATCTAAAGCCATCTAAAGTTTTCTTCAGAGTAAGTAAATAATCTCATGATTTTTTTTTGATAATGCTAGAGTGATGCTCGAGTTTTTTTGATAATGCTAGAGTTTGCAGAGTAATTGTCTTGCAAGTCTGCAGGCTATTAAAGCAAAGATTTAGTGTTCTAGAAAGGTTTCTAGCAACATAAACTTTGACATAAACTAAAAAAACATTGAAACGCCAATATTACACCAAGAAGAAAACTTAATAATGTTGTGCATGCAGTAAGATGCGTCGAATTCGTTAAACAACTTTATTTTTACCCCCACAAACATTTCTGCCAACAGGAAAACAAAAACTAAATCTTTTTTTCATTAAAATCAAACCGATTTTCGATCAGTTAGTCTCACTTTTTCGAAAATCGAAAAAATCGGATCGAAAAACGTCAGATAAACGTTAGATATAAACAAGGTCATTTATTGGAAAGGAAAACAAGGTGACTGGCTAGAAAAAGACAAGAAATCGAGTGATTACTCGATCATTATCACCTGATCATTATCACACATTACGATGAGACTTATTTTCCTGATCCTACTAATTTGCATGGTGGGCAGGTTGGTGAAAATCTTTCAGTCTTTCTAAATCTTTCAGTCTAAATGTAAATTGTGTATTGTAAATGCTAATTGAAGATCTAATCGACTGCATTGTACCTGTCTGGTATCGGGCAAATTACTTCCACTTAAAATTACTTCTACATCGAAATTGTTTTGTTGAGAAATGCAATGAAACAATGAAACTTTCCGAAGCTTTTATTTCCAAATCGATTTCCAAAAACAATCTCTAAATCGAAGTTTTTAGCGTGGCCCCATATTTCCGACAAAGGGTCAGAACGACGATTCGTCGGCCACACTTGTTCGTTTAAAACTCTTGTTATTTTTCTGTTTTTGTTCTGATTAAGTTTTAGTATATATAAAACAGATGAGACTTATGTCTGTCCGTATGTCTGTTTGTCTGTCTGTCTGTATGCATGTCTATCTGTCTGTCTGTCTGTTTGTCCGTCTGTTTGTCTGTCCGTCTGTCCGTCTATCTATCTGTCTGTCTGTCTATCTGTCTGTCTGTCTATCTGTCTGTCTGTCTATCTATCTGTCTGTCTATCTGTCTGTCTGTCTGTTTGTCCGTCTGTTTGTCTGTCCGTCTGTCCGTCTATCTATCTGTCTGTCTGTCTATCTGTCTGTCTGTCTATCTATCTGTCTGTCTATCTATCTGTCTGTCTATCTGTCTGTCTATCTATCTGTCTGTCTATCTATCTGTCTGTCTATCTGTCTGTCTGTCTGTCTATTACGTTTGCTCTATCGATTAAAAGACAAAGTATTCAGCTTTTGCGCGCGATATTTTGCCCGGGGGTTTTCAGCTATGGGGAATCTGACTTTCAGGTCCATTTTTAAAGAAGGGGCCGCTTAACATGGGTTATGGTAGTTTTAGTCATTTGAAAGTAACTTTTGTGCTAAAGAGTCGTTTTGTGCGCTCGACGAAAACAATTCAAAAAACGAAACAAAACAACAACAACAAACAAAACTCTGTTTCTTTTTGCGTTCCTTTTCAATTTGTCTTCTCTTTTTCTATTGTACATGGGTCCTTTAAACTATATGCGCTTTCCGAATACGTCCCGAAGGACGTATTCGGAAAGTAAAGGACCCGAAGCGCCCCGAATGGGTTCCCCGGCGGAAAACCCAGCCCCAGCGGAAAAAGCGAACGAAGTGAGCATTTTCTACTGGTATTATATATGCTACATTCGATCCAGACTGATTCTAGGCTGGACGTTCGATCTAGAATCAGACCGATCCCTTTAAATCAGACGTCCGATCCAGACTGATTCGTGTTCAAGCTAAATCGGACGTCCGCTCTAGAGTCAGTCTAGAGCGGACGGATTTCTAGATCGGACGGATTTTCATATAGGACGGATTTCTAGATCAGACATAACACATACAAAAGCATCGATGCAAGTATTTTAACAATTATTTCACTTTTAGTCGTAAAACAGTCACAAAAACGACTATCCGAGGTGGTGGCAGGAGAGGTGGATGGGGACGGAGATGGGGTAAGCTTGAGAAGCTTACCATGCTAGAAATGCTTTGAAATATGTTTAAAAAGCAAAACGATTAACATTTGAGTACCACTGTGCTCAAGTCATTCTACTTATAAACATCGGAAACTTTCAGGCTAGCTACAAAGTTTCACTTTCAACAAGAAATGCATTGCTTCAATCTTCTTTGTTTAAAGACAATGAAAATAAAGATTTGCCTAAGAAAAGAAAAGGGGACACAGTAAAATATCAAAAAAAAATTAAACTACTAAATGTTTAACATATAATTTATATGTCGTAGCCGATTATGAATAAAATTTTTTGGCAAATCTTTTTTGGCAACTCTAGTAGAGCAACCCTTTAATGTATGAGGACAATATTATATCATTTTGTAGCGAATTAAATTCTGCGTCGATTGGTACCAAATTTGTGAGTTTAGGTTAAAAATTACCGGCGCTACAACGTTTCATTCAAAATCGGCGGGACCCCCGTAGCCGATTATGAATGAGTGGGTCTAGGAGCGTCCAAGCATCAAGTATCTGGTATCATTCAACGCAGAATCATTAATAATTATGTTAACTTTTTAAAATTAGAAAGATTTAATAGAAAGAAAAAAAATTAGAGCAAAAAAATTGTTTGTTCAAGAGGAAACTTTGAGGCCCCATAATTTTTTTTTCTTCTTATCCAATCTTTCTAATTTAAAAAATTTAACATAATTATTAATGATTCTGCGTTGAATGATACCAAATACTTGATGGTTGGACACTCCTAGACCCACTCATTCATAATCGGCTACGACATATATACTCAAAAGTGTAGACCGGCCACCTGAGCACTTGGAAGATAGAATCTGAATAAATAGTGCTCGATTGGATTGGAAAACTGACGTATTAAATGCTTTTTGATGATTTGCTTAGGAAAATAGACCATAAATAGAAGCAAATTTATTCTTCCAACAACGCTTTTATGATCACGTCCGAGCATTGAGTAAATTCGGGGATCTGAAATGATTTGTGATGTTTAGAGTTTAGAGATTAGAGTTAGTAGAGTTTTTTTGAAAATTACTTTAGTCTCGGCAAACATTTGTGTATATTTTGAAAGCAATTGTGGAGCATTTGTTAGATTGCATCGTTTCTCGTACTCCGTCGCTGTACACTTTGCAATTGAAGCCCCTTTGCTGAAATATAAAAATCGTGAAGCTTTTAATAGAGCCAATACATAGAAATTTGCGAGGTTTAATTTTAAATTAAAAGCTTACTTTTCAAGCTTTACTTTTCAAGCTTTACTTTCCGATGTCTCACTGTAAACAAGTATCGGAATACCTTTTCCCGATCGATTGGAAACAGTCGATTTGGACTCATTTTTTAAGATCCCAGTCGATCTGGTCAAAACCGGACCGACCGACTGACGGAGAAGCTGTCTAACCACTGGGGGACTGCCATAGGCTTTAACTTGTAAAGGGGGACTGCCATAGGTTTTAACTTGTAAAGGGGGACTGCTATAGGTCGAAATTCGACCTTTGAAACTTCGAAACTAACGATCTTTGATATAGCGTACACTTCAAAATAACAAACCCTATATTCGAATCTGGCCAAACGCTTAATAAAACGTTAAGAAACAACCTTCGATATAGCGAGCTTTGATACAACGAATACTTAGAACACGTTTTGAACGTTTTAACACGTTCGGGACTATTCGGTCCACCGGTGGACGAAGGCCATCTGGCCCCTGGGACGATTCGGTCCACCGGTGGACGAAGGCCATCTGGCCCCTGGGACGATTCGGTCCACCGGTGGACGAAGGCCATCTGGTCCCTGGGACGATTCGGTCCACCGGTGGACGAAGGCCATCTGGTCCCTGGGACGATTCGGTCCACCGGTGGACGAAGGCCATCTGGCCCCTGGGACGATTCGGTCCACCGGTGGACGAAGGCCATCTGGCCCCTGGGACGATTCGGTCCACCGGTGGACGAAGGCCATCTGGCCCCTGGGACGATTCGGTCCACCGGTGGACGAAGGCCATCTGGCCCCTGGGACGATTCGGTCCACCGGTGGACGAAGGCCATCTGGTCCCTGGCGGATTCGGTCCACCGGTGGACGAAATTTTTGACGCGCTATAACTTCTCAACTTTTAAAGATAATTTCAAAATGTAAAAAGATTCGATTAGTTCTTTTTAAGGCAGCAATATTTTCAAAATATGATTAGGGATTCGGATTCAGTATGAAATTTAACATATAGGTGTATTTCGGGGCTAATAGCTTTGCGAGACACCCCTCGCCCACTGGGGTAACGCAGTAACGCAACAAAACGCCTCCTCGCGAATGGATACATTACCGTATATTTCATTTCCATATAACGAATCATTTGCTAAAATATGGACAAAGTAAAATAGATTTTTGCTTTTGGAATCGCTTTTGGAATCGCTTTTTCAATGGAATCGACCATCACAATATCTTGTTCATAGATGAAAAGATTATTACCGTTGAAAGCCTTCTTATCAAGCAAAATAATCGAATATGGGTCAAATATGAACCGAATGCTACGGTTTCTCGAAGTTAAATCCAGCTTCAAAGCGTGGAAAGAGCTCGATGCAGCCTATTTGGTCGCCACCGTTGACGCCTTCCCGGAGCCTCGGCGAGCCTGCTCAAATGCTAATGGTGGTCGATTCGAATTTGATAGTTCATTTATAATGTGCAATAGTTCATTTATAATGTGCAATAAATCTTATTCAGTTGAAAATTTGTCTTTTTTTGCTCTGGTCTGCCGCAAAATCAGAACTCTATCTTATTGCGACAATCAGAACTCTATCTTATTTTGGCACACCCTGTATATTTCCCTAACTGTATCACGAAGCAAACTCACTTATTTTCGAAAAGCCTTTTAGAAAGTAAGAATAGAGAATCATAAAAATTAAGAAACACACTTGCAATCACCGAAGCTTTCCGTTACATTTCCACAAATCCCCGCAATCGTTTGGTCCATTTCACTCGTTTTGCAGACCCACAGAGGAGTCACTGGAAATGCTCTTGACCCGTAGTTTGTTTTATATGCATTTTTGAAGATTTATAAGACTATTGTCCTTTAAATTCTAATGTTACCATTGTCCTAACTCTAATGTTGCCCTAAATAATGTTGTAGCCATCCTTGACTTATCCATCGCCACTTTATTTATCAAAGATTATTTTATGCTAATTGCCAATTGCTCTTTTTGATTTGTTATTCTACCAACTTGAGCAAGTTATGCACTCTTAAAGCAGTTTTGGGTTTTTTTCCGTTATACTTCCGCCAAATTTGCCTTAGATTCATTCTTTTGCTATTTCTTGACGGCGCGATGAATTCATGTTTCGCTTACCGACTACCGAAGCCGATGCAATAGCGTTCTTTCTACAACGCTGCATCTTACTTACTACTCGCACATGCGCCAACCATCACATTATGAAGCTATCGCTGGAGATGAAGCTATCGCTCAATCATGGAGATGGAGATGGAGAATCCCGGATGGAGATGTGACAAAACGTCGTGCCGGACATCGTGCTGCGTGTTGGGGATCTGCCAAATGGAGAAACAAGAAGCATCGCGGCACGGCACACATCGGGCACACACGCGACACGGCACACAAGGCAAAAATGCGTTTTCTATCGGATTTTTCTGGGAGTACCTTTTTTAGATGCGGAAAATTGTGCTGATTCCGAATCTGAAGGAATTTTTCAAATCCCTCTGACAGAAATTTTAAAAATTTAGTTTTACCGGTTTTTTGGTCATTTTGTATGGAAAATTTTGTGGTAACCTGCAGTTTGGAGCTCGTAACTCGACAATCAGGGTCTAGAACTAAAAATGAAGGGATAATTTTTATTCTAGAGACTCTTACGAACATTTTGATGCAAAAATCATCAAATTTGCTCAACTCCACAAAAAGTTATAACATCTTTAAAGAAATTTTGCAAAATACACTAAAAACCGTAGCCGAGTGGTCTAAGGCGCGCGACATGAATCCCGCGCAAAAGTATGGAGTTGTTGGTTCGGCTCTCCCGCGCACTTGAGCTATTATTTTGGGGAGTGGGGCAAAATGCGACCTTTTTTTGCGCACCCGGACATTTGCGCACCTTTTTTTCCGCACCTTGCCCATTAGCGCACCTTTTTTCGCGTTTTAAAAAAGCTCTAAAAGCTAAATATTAACCAATTTCTATTCCAAAAGTTGTTTTTCTAGGTAATTTTAGGGCGTAGAATCGAAATTTTGACATATCAGAGCTTGTGGAAACAAACGGACGGAGTTATACAAAGAGAAAAATCAACAATTTCCTGTAATTTGACCTAGTACGGTTCCAATACGGTTCTTTTTAGATCCAATACTGTTCCATTACGGTTCCATTACGGTTCCAATACGGTTCCAATACAGTTCCAATACGGTTCCAATACGGCTCCAATACGGTTCTTTTTAGATCCAATACTGTTCCAATACGGTTCCAATACGGTTCCAATACGGCTCCAATACGGCTCCAATACGGCTCCAATACGGCTCCAATACGGTTCTTTTTAGATACAATACTGTTCCAATACGGTTCCAATACGGTTCCAATAAGGTTTCAATAAGGTTCCAATAAGGTGCTTTTTAGATCTAATACGGTTCCAATACGGTTCCAATACGGTTCTTTTTAGATCCAATATTGTTCTGTTTTGTCTTTCAAATTGGTTCCACACGCTCTGTTATGTCAAAATTTGAATTCGAGACCCTAAATTACCTAGAAAAACAACTTTTGGAATAGAAATTGGTTAATATTTAGCTTTTAGAGCTTTTTTAAAACGCGAAAAAAGGTGCGCTAATGGGCAAGGTGCGGAAAAAAGGTGCGCAAATGTCCGGTTGCGCAAAAAAAGGTCGCATTTGTCCCACTCCCATTATTTTGTATATTCCTTAATTGTTTTGAGTGAATACGATACATAGCTACATTGTTCTTTTGAAAAAAACAATTGTGCAATAGAGAATTTTTTGAATTTTCTCATTTCTCTTTTTAAAAACGTTATAACTTTTTGTCGAGTTGAGCAAATTTGATGATTTTTGTATCTACATTGTTCATAGCTACACTGTTCTTTTGAAAAAAACAATTGTTTTTGAACAAAACGTGCCGCGGCACGTCATTTCCTATCGAGCTCGCTGAATTCATGGTCCGACAAGAAGTGGGAAAGGACGATTTCTACGAATGGGTGTTGCAACAAATTGCTACGGCAGGAATTCCTCATTGACCTATTGATCGATTTTGATTCTTAAATGATCAGGGGTTATTTTTGCGGATATATAACGGAAAGTATCCACTTTTGCTTAGAGCATTTGAGCATTTGAGCATAGAGCATAGAGCATAGAGCATTTGAGCTGAAAAGGTCAAATGCATTTGGGCCATTTGAAACCAAGCATTTGGGCCATTTGAAACCAGCATTTGGGCCATTTGAATGAGTGACAAGGAAGGTATCCATAAGAACCAAATTCTTCTATTGTTGATATAAAAACAAACGCTCTCTTGAGACAGCCATGAAAGCTGGTGAGCAGACGACCGAGAGAAACGTCACTCTCGTTATTCTCATCTGATCTTCCAGCTTTTTTCGACCCTTCGGCAGCTGTCGCTACACTTCTAAAGATAAAATAGGTTAATTCAAGCCTGATTTTGCTCTAAACGATCTTAATTTGAACTTAAATATGATAACAAGACGTTAAGAATGGATCAGATAGATAGATCAGACTAATTTAAGCAAGATTTGCTTAAATAGATTTGCTTATTATTTGCTTTCTCCAAATTCAAACAATTTAAAAGTTTAAACAACAACAAACCCGCAAAAAGCCTTCGCAAAATCCAAGTCCGGCACTTGAACAGTTGGCATCGATTGGATACCTTGAAAAATTGAAAGATTTTGTTCAAATGTTTTACTTACCACTTTCAGCAACAATAAGAATAAATAATATTAAAACTGCTGAGAACATTTCGAAGTTAAACGATGAAGTGTTTTGAACTTAAACGCACTTTCTCGAGACGCGATTGGTTTTTGTTTTTTACTTATCTTTTCAACTACTTATCTTTTTTACTTATCTTTACTTATCTTTTGATCTAATCGATCAAATCAAGTGAAAGTGAAAGGGAAAGGAAATGAGATCATTTTAATGATAAAAATTGCAATCTACTCAAAGTTGTTGATTCGAAGATTCGTACAAAAAGATTCGAAGACAATGGAGTAGAAGGGAGTCGAGAGAAATGAAACAAAATCATTTTATTTAAACAGGAAATGGGCGGAACAATATAACAGGAAGGGAATATGGAGAAACAGATAACTTTAAAACGCGTTACAGTTACAGATAACTTTAAAACGCGTTAAGGATAGAATTTACAGAAGGGGAAAGAAAACTTATGCGGGACTCAGCATAAAAAACTGGACAAGATTTCATCCATGGAATGCAGAAAAATGAAAAGAATGGCAAAAGGGGTATTTTTGTGCGGGATACGATAGCGCATCCACGCGTCAGAAAGCGCGCCGCGCCGCTTTCGCGCCAGTTGCTTAAAACCGCACGTCAATAAGAATCTAACTCTAGACTTGGTTTGAAGAGCAGGCGAGAGTTGGAGGGTTGAGGTTGAGGTTGAGATTGGGCAGAGTATTCTTGGATTAAGCAGATTGAGATTGAGCAGAGTATTCTTGGATTAAGCAGATAGAGATTGAGCAGAGTATCCTTGGATTAGGCAGATTGAGATTGGGCAGAGTATTCTTGGATTAAGCAGATAGAGATTGAGCAGAGTATCCTTGGATTAGGCAGATTGAGATTGAGCAGAGTATTCCTAGTATTCTTGGAGGTGATGACTGTTGCGTTTGAATTAGTGTCGATATCAGTGCGAAATGGCTTGGTTTTTGGTCCAGAGATGTCCCTGAGTGAGTGGGTTTTACGTAGTGTCAAGTTTTGAAAATTCCTCTGATAGCACCGCAACTTGGCCACAGATTTAGTTGATGGCTTCAAAAACGTTAAATGCAAACATTCTAGTCCTCTTTTTTGTAATTTTTTAAAAACTCAATCTAGTGCCATCACTAGGTTGAGTAGGTTCAACGAGAGGATCATTTCTCTTGAAAATTCCTATTGCCTAAAATAACTTCGTGTCTAATTCTTTGAGGTTTCTTTGAGGGGCGAGATTGTGGAATTGTGGAGCAACTTAAGAGAATGCAAAAGCCTTGAGTTCTTTAAAAAAATTCTGTAGATAACCTAGATCACTCTTCTCTTGTGGGTAATTGATTGGATTTTATTTTTTATGTAATCTTGCAATCCTTGTTTGCCATGTTTCTTAAGGTGTTACTACCTCTGTATATTAAAAAATTTCTCTTTTCCTCACTTTACTTCATTTCTTGAATAAAGTATTAGGTTGATGCATAAGTCTTTTCGTTCCTTTTCGTCTGCCGTTTCAAGCCAACAAATGCACCAATTAAACTACGGTTGATTTCATTAGAAAAAGCAATTATTTTTCTGCAAAATAACATTAAAACGGGTTTAAAAATATTTAATGCCTGGATTTTCTTGAGAGTATGAAGTCGGGTAGTCAAAAAGGGCTAACTCGATGATGCGGTTTAGACACCTTAGCTAAAGATGCGGTTTAGACACCTTAGCTAAAGAAAACCTATCTTCGTGTCAATAGATAAAAGATAGAGAAAAAAAACGTTTGATATTTCGCCAAAATTTCAGAGAAATTCATTCAGCCAATTTTTCCGTAGAGTTTTTTATAGATTTTTACGAAAAAGGCGTTTTTCACTCTCGAATTTGCTTGAAAGTGAACCGAAATTCATTTAAAAAGATGCAAATTCAACAAAAAAACACTTTTTATTTAGAGAAAAGCATAGGTTAATTGGTGAATTTGTTACTTTTTAACAGAAGTACGAAAAAAACGAAAAGACTTATGCATCAACCTAATATATACCACACAAATCAATGCAGCTTTTTGTTTATATCCAAATCGATCAAGAGATCAAGCTCAATGAGATCAAGAGTGCGTTAATCTTGTTAATCCTGGAATGAAACAAGAAGTGCTATCGAATCTCTCGATTTAATTCTCGAACAGGAACACGGAGTCCCCTTGGAAGCGACAAGTCAACAACTCTTTCCTCGGATTTCAGAACCAAATAAATCGTGACCATTCTGTAAAGAAATCAAGATCAAAAAGATCAAAATGTAAAGTTTAAACTTTTAAACACATAAGATAGTTTATTTATTTTTCAATCAAGCACAAAAGGTTAAAGTAACGGCCTTGACAAGAGCCAGATTCTAGACATGGACACTATAAACTACAAAAACGACGAACTGTAACGCTACTACAAGTTATTTACTTTGTTTTTTTTTTTCTGGTAGATTGGGCAATAATACAAACGCTTCTAACTGGCTTGAAATCTCGCGGATTTACATGATCTATAGCTCAAAAAATAGGGAATCTCAAGAGCTTTTGAATGGACCGACGCACACCCAAAAATTTCAACTAAAACACACCCAAAAATATTAATGCTGTAGAAAGTTACAGTGTTTTGTAGCCTGACTCTTGCAGCGCGTAGTCGAAGCGATCGACTCCGGCTACAAACCACTGTAACTCTCTTTAGCGTTGAAATTTTTGGGTGTGCGTCGGTCCATTCAAAAGCTCTTGAGATTCCCTATTTTTTGAGCTATAGATCATGTAAATCCGCGAGATTTCAAGCCAGTTAGAAGCGTTTGTAGTTTACGTTTATAGTTTTTTGTGCCCATGTCTACCAGATTCGGAATAAATGAACTATAGTCGTAAAAATAGCTTTCAATACTTCAGCTACGCAAAGCTACCAGCTACGGGATCATCCCTAGCATCTTTAGAATCAAAAAGATCTCTATAAAGCAAAGAACGAACCCCTGAAAGCACGGGCCGCCGGCGTAGGCGAGGAAATTGCCAGTTTGATTGAATATAGTGGCGCACAACGGCCAACTCCTCAAGAACGCCCAGTAGATAAATGGGTTTATCAAGTAGATGACGGTTAGCGGTACGGTGTTCGCGATAATCTGATATTGATTATCGGTTGAAGTTTGGTGCCAACGATGCTCACCTGTGCCAAAAGGAAACGCTCGCTAGCATTGTTCACGTTCACCTTTGTCCGCTGAAGGTTCCTCTTTTGAAACTGATCTCAAAATACCTTTTCTTTTTAGTTTACGAATGATTTTGATCATTATTAATGTTTATTCATACTCAATTAACCCACAAGAAATCATCAGGAATGAGTTTTGCTCCACTTTTTGGCAAACTGCTTACAACGGAACCCCTCCCGTTCGGAAGAATCTTCCGGCAGTGTATTTTTTGCAGTCCAACAACAGCTATAAAGAGCTCAACAGCTCAACAAATCTAAAGGAAAACAAAATTCAGGCTGGATTGATTCTTGTTTCTTGCTTTCTTGCTTTCTTGCTTGAGATTCTTGCTAATATCTGTTCATTGCTAATATTCGCTCATTGCTAATATCAAATTTCCAGGTGATCTGCAAGGATTGAAGATTGGACAATGTTGGTCGTCCTTGCTTTCAATGCTAATCGAAGAGTTGAACCCAATGGACAGTGCCTACAGCTACTAGTGTCCACAGATACTTTTCTAAATCAAAAGGTGCTTTCACAGGCAGAAAATGGGTCCAATTGATGAAGGATGGAAGAGAAAAATAGTGAATGAGGCTCTTGAAAGAAAAAAGAAGGAGGGACCAGGAAATCCAAGAGTAGATGATGAAAATCTAGATGATGAGTGAGAAGCAATGTGTGAGAAATTTGGAGAGATTTTGAACTTGAGTGATGTTGATAAAGATGAAGAGTAATTTTTGATTTATGGTGATATATTGGGTTGATGCATAATTATCCGGACTTCTTTTATAAATGATTTTATTTAACAAAAAATAACATAAATAGTTAGAAAAATATGTTTAATTGATTATTCTGGAGCATATTCACCGCCTACATCAATAACTGATTGCCATTTGCTTGGAAGACGATCGATTCCACGAGCGAAGAATAAACGATCTTTGGAGGTAATCCACGCTTTAACATCGTCTATCAAGTCATCCAAATCGTTGTAGATCTTATTTGTTTGCCAATTTTTGAGCGATCGATTGACGTGGTAGTCCGTTGGGGCTTCTCCAGTTCTTTGAGATCGCGAAACGACTCTGCGGCAGACCATCCCTTTTCGAAGTGGTAGAGCATGATATGGCGAAGATGGATATGATTGTCGACACGCATTTTGTTCACTAAAGAATAACGAATATTTTAAAAAAAGAAATAGACAAAAAGCTTTCAAAACAAAAAAGATACAAGCACGCAAAAAGAAGTCCGGATAATTATGCATCAACCCAATATATATTTATATATGCTTTATTCGGTTGGATAGCGACAAAACAAGATCACAATAATCACCCAGGACACCAGTAAAAGTAACCCAAAAGATAAAAAGATACCTCGAGAAAGAATCAAAGAGCAGTCAAATCAATTGCCGAAATTGCGGAATAATGTAGCCTAGGAATAAGGCTTTAAATCTAGCCAAGGTGCGAATATCACGAATATTACGCTATTGAAAAAAAAAAGAAGGACGGATCAGGAAATCCACGAGTAGATGATGAAAATCTAAATGATGAGAAGCAATCAGTGAGAAATTTGAAGAGATTTTGCGCTTGAGTGATGTTGATACAGATGATGAGTAACTTTTGATTGATGGTTATATTAAGAGTTTAAATTATTCCTTTGTACATCTTTTATGGTTTTTCTGTTTGTTTTATTACTTTTATTTGTTATTTATGAGTTAATTTTAGTGTCTAGTTGATGTTAATGTCGACGGCGATCTCTAAAGAAAGCTCAAGAATTTTCGAGATTCAAATTAATTTTGTCAATTAATTTTTATCATTCCTAGGGATAAATCTAACAAATAAACTAGAAATAAATTAATTTTCTTGAAAAATTTTTTTTAGGAGAAT